CATCCTAACATTACTCAGTACCTTAAATCTTCATCTAAAAACCACTGTCTTATTTATACTTTTGTAAAGCTATTTTAGTATATGATTAATTCTAAATAAAATTGGACTGATACTTACATTGATTGAAAGGTATACTTTGTCCTGATATATAAACAAGTCTTGTTTTTTTGTGTGTTTGGTATCTTCATTATCCTATTGTCTCTCCTTGGTTTGTGTTATTTATAAGTTAAGATTGTGTGTGTGTGTGTGTGTGTCTATGTGTGTGTGTGTTGCTATTATGCTAAGTTCCTGTGTTTGTTGCCTTTAAAAGTTTATTCCCATAATTAAATAGTTAACAAATATTTGTAAAAAAAAAAAAAAAGGTTACTGGGAAAAACTTACAAACTCCCAGGAGTTACTTTCCAAGTCTGTTTCAGATCATTGATCTATATACAGTTTCTAGTTTTTAAGCCAACTCTGGATTTACCTAACTTGGTTATCCAGCCACATTTCTTTGTAGTGTTCAAAGCTATCACGAGAAACTTTAGAACTTTGCTAGAATCAGATTATCCTTCATTAGGTAGTCCACTAGAACTTGTCATTTGTTTGTGAGGTAAGGGCTGAGAAGGCATTAGCAGTGACTGAGCTGTTCTAGGTCAGCAGGTGGGGAAAAGTGAAGGTCTTGCAGTTCACTGAACTATGGAGCCATGGAGAAAGGGCTGATTTTGGTTAAGTTCATCTTGGGCCAGATAGAGCCTGTGGAGCCTGCAGGATGCCCACATGCAGCATCCAGAGGCAAGCTAACTGGCCAGCTCTGGTGTGGTAGGGGATGGCAGCTACCGTTATACATAACATAAGCAGTGTTCAGAGCAGGGGAAGCCAGGTAGAGACTGTAGTGTACAGAGAAGAGATTCAGGTGGTCAGAAGTGGTAAACATTAACAAGTTGAGGGAGTTCATGCCCAATAGCCTTCTTTTTTTTTTTTTTTTGGTGAAATGGGAAGAAACCTTATCTTTTATAAAAGAGGGAGAACTGGAGATTTGAGAGCAGTGAATATATATTTGGACTTTTCCCTTTTACTGCAGGGAAGTAGGAAAAGGAGCTCAGTAGGCAAGGGAAAGCTAAGCCTGAATGAGGCATTATCCCAGCTTTCCTCTTCCCTGCCGGCTTTAAAGATGAACACACCGACCTTTCCCCTCTCTTTAAGGGTTTTATTGCTGAACACTGTAGCAGGGGTCTTTCCTGGGAGCTGTATCAGAATGTGAGGGGTGGAGTTGTGTGTGCATGTGGAAATGGCATTGGCAACTCTGATACATTGGCTAGGGAATCACTGTACTTACAAAGGATTAACGAACAGAGAAAAGTGAGAGTAACAGTTGTGGTTGCTGGAGGGAGAGTGTGTTTTAAACTCACTCAGTAGAACCAAGTCTTATTTCACCTTAAATAGTGTTGGATATCACCTCACTCTTTATGTGTCATCTCTGCTGGTTATTTATTTCCTAGAGAGCAGGGAGTGTCGCCGTAGCACACACTGAACGTTTACCACTTTATGTGGTAAGGATTGATTTTTTTTTTTTGCTTCCTTCCAGGCTTATAATCATGACTCCCATTTAGTGTTTAGAACGCCAGCACAATGCCTGGCACATGGTGGACAAGTGTCAGGTGTTGGATGGACCCTTGACTAAAGTGAGGACTGAATCAGGCCTGGCTGTGCTGGCTCGGGGCTCTTATCTTTGTGAGTGTCTTGTGTAAGCTTAAGAGGGCTTTCAGAGGTGATGGTGGTGAGGTGTACCCCAGACCTTTTCATGTTCTTCTTTATTAAGAAATCAGCCTCAGTTAAAGTGTATGCTGTCTTTGGGGAAAAGTACAAAATCATTGTATTCAGCAGGTCTCTGGAAGAGTTCTATTGGTGTCCTTTGAATGCAGATGGGTAATTGTATTATAGAGTTCATGTCTAGATACTCGTGTACATTGACCCAGAAATATTTCCCATATCTGTTTCAGCTGCTTTTCTCCAGGACAGCTAGTTACCCAGCTTTCTGCCAGCTGCTAGCCACATGTAGAGGTAAATGAACTAGGCCTAATGCTTCTCCTAATGTGTATTCCTATGCTTGATAATCACCAAATTCTCAAAGGCCCTTTATTTATGTTAGTAATGAGCATCATTTGGTTTTATCCATTTTAAACATGGTCTTGCCTGATTCAGAAACTTAAAACAAATAAATAGGGACAACTGCTTCCTACCAGAAACTTTGGTTTTCTGGGGAAATTTCTAAAAATCTCTAGATTGGTCCTTGATTTGGCATGACTGATTAGGCAAGCAACTGCTTATTAAGAAGCAGAGCTGGGAGTAGAACAATTTAATTAGCTTCTGTCTGTTGAGCCTTTAATAAAAGCCATACCTTGAATATATTGAGCTTAATATTTAGTTTTAAATGGAAGATTTTTTGCAAAGAAGACTCAGCATACATCCCAAAGACTTAACTGAAAATAAGTCTGTTAAAAATATAAAATATTCATCCAATATAACAGATTTAATAAAAAACTATAATTTGGGGGAGGGGAATGGTAAGTTTTTTAATGATGAATTATTTAAATGCTTTTTTTTTTTTGGTACTAGGGATAGAACTCAGGAGCATTCAGCCACATCCCTGTCCCTATTTTGTATTTTATTTGGAGACAGAATCTCATGAAGCTGCTTAGCTCCTCACTTTTACTGAGGCTGGTTTGAATTCACAATCCTCTTGCCTCAGCCTCCCAAGCTGCTGGAATTACAGGTGTGCACCTTGGCGCCTGGCTGTGTGAATGCTTTTTAATATATTAGTTAAAAGAACAAATCACAAACTGGACAATGTTGATGACATAAATATGTTTTATGACATTTTTTAACAAAGATTCATGAAATACTCATTGTATATCTTGAACTCTAATGAAATTCACTGAGCATCACATGAGCAACCCATGCCCATTCCCAGCTCCAGAGCCAGCAGGGAACATCAGAAGCCTTCGGGACAAACCATCCTTACATTTAAGTTTGACTCTCACTCTCTTCTGATTGCTGATTCTGTTTTCTTCAATTAACTGTCCACCTGACCTCCAGATCCCTCTTTACTTTAATCTTAGAAAAAAATTTTCCCCTTTACAGCTTACTAAGAAAATTATAATGATGCTTAATTTATGTACAAATTTTATGTGTTATTTGGTTACTACTAAACCTAGACTAAAAAGGCCACAAATTAATTTTTTAATGCTAAATAAACACATGTTGAACAAAACTAAAAAAAAGTAAATGAGCAATAAAGTTAATGGAGTTTCACAGAGAAGAATTGCAATATCAATAGTTCTACCAAGCACACACTTAAAAAAAAAAAAGGAAAGAATTCATTACAGACATATGAATTCTGTTGGAAGGGGCCCTGTGGGAGACTGATTCTTAGTGTGATATCCTGGTTGGAAGGGAATGAAGTGGGGTTATTGCTAGTACTGTCAATGACTTGGTTTTTCTCTAGTGAATTGGCTCCAGTAGGTGACTTTATTTCTTCACATTAGGCAGCTAGAAATGTGTATTGATTCATTTCCTTTTCATTTTAGGATCAGCTCTATCAAAGATGGAGCCATAGATATGCTATATTTGCTGGATATGAGCAAATGCTTTAGTGTCTTTCTTTGATCTGAATGTTCCACAGATTTTTAAGAGCCAAATAAGGTTCAGTTCAATGAGATAAAAACATACTTTGTGTGTGTGTATGTGTGTGTTGTATATATACACATATGCATATTCCTTTTCTTTCTGCTCTGCCTTAAAACTTGAAGCTCTTTTATTAAAAAAAAAAAAAATTAAAAGTCCATGGAGGCTTTTTGTTCTAAGGAAAAAAGTTAAATATTAATTTAAATAATAACAGTGGTATGGTTCTTTTTAAAGACTATCATTCTTAAGATTTTAATTTTGTTTTAAATGTCTCACTATACAATATGTTTTCATTATGTAATTTTTGTTTTGTTATTGCAATGTTCTATGCTTTTTGGCTTAATTGTTTCTTAGAAATTATCTAACTTTCCCAACTTAAAGATGAGAAGAATTCAGTCACAGAAAAATCAGGTGATTTGTCCTACGTATAATTAATAATATTTTTAAAAGAATATTTTGTAATAGTATTTGAAATTCCCTCTTACTGTTAAATTCTAGACTTAGATAATTTTGAATATTGAGATTTTTAAATTAAGAGTTTTTTAAAAAAATTTTAATATAAATGTAAGCTATATGACAAATAGATGGTAAAGGTGAAGAAACATACAAAAGGTTTAAAAATTTTTAATATTCGTTTAATTTAATCAATTCATTTAATAAATCATAGCATAAGACTACATTATTATGGGTAACATCAATGTGAGTTAAGCCAATGTACAGATGTGAGTCAAATGCAGTTTTTTAAAATTGGACTGCATTTTTGGTTAACTATTATTTTTCTGTGACCAAAAGAAAATATGTGATTTACAACACTTAAATTATCAACTAAAACAGATATGTTTTAAAATATAGCCATTGTTTCCAGAAATGCCATATTTTCCCTAAAAATTAAGTAAAAAGAAATACATTATAAGGACATTCAACTCTATTTTTATATAATAATTGTTTACTACTGAATCAGGTGAACAGATAGCATTGTAAGTAAGAGAATGCCTTACTCTTATTTTTATGAAATAAAATAAACATAAAGGTGAATAACTTAATTACTTATACCAAAATAATCAGAATTCCTATATAGTAGTAAAAAGGCAATACAAAAAATACTGAGAAGAAATTAAGCATATTATGTAATTATATTTGCCTAGCATCCATTTTCTGAGTTCAATCCCTGGTATCATTAAAAATTAAAATTCTTATAGTTTATATTCTTACACTTGTGCTAAATTTAAAAATATTAATAACAATAGAAGTACACATTTTTTAAAATTAAAAAAATTAGTCTTGCATGAAATAGCAATTTATAACCATCATTTTTCTTCACAGGTTGAAGAAATATGGATACCAACACCATACTGGTCAGCAGCACACTTTGTACCAGCTTTCTCATCTTTCAGCTTCTTTTCCACTTTGTAAGTTCTTGGTTTTCAGCAAAAGTTTCTCCAGGTTTTAATAATCTCAGCTTTGAAAAGAAGATTGAATGGAACTCAAGGTAAAGCATATGAAAACATACTTGACTTAAAAGAAAATTGATTTTCTAAAGCAAATTATTTAAAAGGCTTTCATTTAGAATCTAACAAAAATTCAGGGTCTATTTTTTAGTTTGACCTTAGAAATAAAAGAAAAGACAAGTAGATTGATCTCACACAAGAAAAATTTAAAAATTCTTATATTGAAAAATGTTAGGAATAATGTATTGCACTTTCCAGGGAAGTGTAGGAAGATTTAAGTAGACTCCAGCTGACTGGAAGTTCACGATTTTGCATTCTTCTCTGAACTCTTTGTAATAACAAACATATTTTTTGGCAAGGAGAAAACATTTGTTGGAGTTGTGAGTAGCTTATACAGTATTGGCCAGCTTATCCACACCCAGGGCAGTTAAAGTATACAACCAGAGAACATAGTGTATGATCTGCCCATCTGTGTCTTTTAATGGACCTTCTATTATAATTTGGAGCCTGTCAGAACTCATTATTTTATTATGTAATTCTAAAGTGTAATTGCATTTTAGTTTTTTAACAACAACAAAATCAATGGAACAAGAATTAGTTTATGACTGAAGAAATCTACTGAAGTTTTCTTAAATTGGTTGCAGATTCTTTGTGTGCAACCCATTAATCTCACAAGGGTTCAGATGCAAAATGACTGCTACTGCTCTCTTGTCTTTAGAGCATTCATGTGCTCAAATGTTGCCTCAGCCATTGGAAGATTTTTTAAAAATTATTAATATTTAGTTGAAGTTAACACAACTATAAACTGGATTTAGCTTTTCTAAAATTACTATCATTATTCTTTACTGAAATTTCCTTTTAGAAGTTAAGAACTTCTACCCATGTCTAAGAATTGTCTTATTTGACCTGAAATCCCTTGTCTGTCTCCCAGCCTATTTGTTTTGCAGTCATCCACTTCTATAACTCAGACTGTGAATAAAAATCTAGTGTTTTCTTGTGTACACTAATATGTCTGGTTCATATGTACTGCTGTTCTTTTTACCCTCCTAGCCCCCAACCCCCAAATTTTTCTTAAGATTTTTTTTTTAAAAAAAGAGATGTGATTAGTTTGTGTTAACACTAGCTCAAAAATATTATTCACATGTGGTGTACTAGAGATATGATTATTTTAACATTTAAAGATAATTGGAATGGTGGGAAAGACAAGGGCTGGGGAGACATACATTCTTTGATTGTATTTTAAACTATTTTCATTTTCTTTTCACTGTGGTTAGGGTAGGTAAAGACATTTGATTATTGGGTAGCTGCAAGCCAAAGAAATGAGGGTATGAAGAGATAGAAGCAAAGATGAAAATGAAATGATGAAATTGAAAAATATTTTGTATTATTCAGTCTCATCACTGTCCTTCTATGATGCAGAAAATCACCATTTGGGCAACTGAGTTTCTATTTGAAAAAGGCATCTAGGATAATACAAGATACATTTAGCTGTTTAAAAGGTGTTTTCTCCACTTTCTGTCTCTCAAAACTCTGTTTCCTACTCCAGCTTTACATGGGACTAAAGAGTGCAAATAAGGAAAAAATAGGCCTTTCTTTCTTTCTTTGTAAAGTACATATATATGTATGTTAAAATTCAGCTTCCAGTCTTAAAACATACAGATCAATATGGCACACAGCATTCTTTCTAGTAATCGGGAAAGAATCTTTGAACAATAGGTGGTCTAAGGTATTTAATAGTAAAAGGACAAAGAAAATACTGGGAAATGAACACTTGATAATAGTTTAATTATAGGTGAAATTTTACTTTAATTATGTTTTTTTTCTGGAAACAAACCTACTTATGAGTATATTTTCCATCTTACAATTAAAATTTTTTGAGTTATTTATATTCAGTTGCTTACTTATAGCATAAGGAAGTCTGATTATGTTCAAATATTACTCATTTTAAAATCTCTTTCTCCCAAATTTAACTCTTTTGCTTATTAGAGCTATATAGTTTCTACTGGCAATATTCACACTACTTGTGATTAAGTTAGTAACTTTAAATTGCTGTTCCGAAATGGTCATTGATTGTTTCTGTGAAGTGCCACTTATAAGCCCAAATACTTCTTTTTAACTCTTTGAAAAAAAATATTTTATTTTGGTGTTTATTTTTAGATGCTAAGGAATATGTACATTTTTCTTTGCCAGGAATCTGATTTTAAAAAATAAAATATGAAATTTTTACTAACAGAAGTTTCTGAAAGTATGGACTTTAAAATGCAAAGTGGTGTGTGAGTGCAAGGTGATTGCTTTTCCTGTTCAGTACAGTGGGAGCCTTCTGACCAGACCAAGTAGCATTTGATTTTGCTCTGATGAATACTCTTCACCAGAGCCCTTCCCATCAGCTAAAGGATATAATGCTTCCCACTCACCATATACATCTCAGTAGAGAAGGGCATTTGAAACCTGAGTGTCACAAATAAAAAGGATTTTTTCAAAAAGGAAACTTTTTGACTCAGTTACTAAACACTAAAACTAGTTGGTGAGAGGTTTTTTCCTTCTATATAATTTTCTAATAGCACAGAGAGCTGTCTGTGATTATTTAGATGAAGTGTTTAACTTGATAGCAAGGATTTTACATTTTCATCCTGCTGTGCTCAAATGGAATACAGGTGTGCTTGGCATGAAAATTCCAAGCTTTTAAACCAGATAAATTGGCTTAATTATTCACACTTAAAGATGATCTTTTGGGTATTTCAAAGGATTCTTGGTCAATAACTAAATTAGTGAAAATCTTTATGCATTTAAAATATGATTTGGTTTAAGATGGTATATCTATTTAAGATCTATAGACTGAGTATATTGATTTTTCAAGTTATGATGAAATTTTCTAATATCAAACTCTCAATATTGTTCATTTATATAGCTCATTTTAAAAAATTTGGGGATCATACTCTAGAAACCTGTTCATCCTTTCTTATGAAAAGAAATACTTCATTACTTGTAAACTTCTAAATAAAGATTTGAGAAATCTGAAATTGTTAGGTAAAAAAATGTCATTGTATAGATAATTACACAGTATCCTGTATGGTTCTTAAGTAGCATATCATAAAGCTCAAGTACTGTTTGAGTCACTAAATTATTTGCCAGATATATTCATAAAAATATGTTTTTCATTTAAACCCTATTCTTTCTATAAAAGAAAACTTGACCTGGATCTTGTAAAAATTTTGCTTTCACTTGAGTGTTTCATGTAAAACAGATTTTCTGTATAAATTTATGGCCCTCAGTTTTTTTCTTTGGAAGTGCTTTCATAATAATGATAAAGAGGAACTAATAATAGCTGCCCATGTTTTTCACAGATTTGTTATAGGAATCAAGTGCAATAATGCATGTGAATCTACATTTAAAACTAAAATCTCCAAGATAATCTTCATGTCATGACCTATTAAAATTGTTTTAAGAATATGGAACTGGTTAAGGCAAATGGATTTGGAAGTCATTCCCAGCTGATTGTAGCAGGAGACTCCTACTGCAGTGATGCTGTCTGGGATGGAGCTCAGAGAGGACACAGAAAAGAGCCTTACCAGCTGCTCTCAGTCTGCATAAAACTGATCCTCATGTACTCCTGCTTCAGAACTTTTAACTAAGAAATGAATCACCAGTTTTCTAGTACAAAATTGTGGTTTTGGCATTCTTCTTGTTATTCATATCTAAATGGCAATTTTGTATTATACTCTCCACCTTCTATATTTTAATGCATCAAGATATAACTTTTTCAGAATGTTGGTCTTTCCAGGATGAGTTAAAATTTATTGCAAGGAATCTAAAATCTTCATATGTATTTTGTTTCATTTCAGGATAGTATCTACATGCCATTCTTTGCTGGTTGGGATTTTGGGCCTGTACATTTTCTTCTTTGATGAGGCTATCATAGCAGATCCACTTTGGTAAGCTGTTTCTTTTCAAACTAGTGAATTTGATTTATGTTTGGATATGAATTATTAATAAGAATACCACTTACTTTAAAACAGAAAATATTGATGGTTTATGCTTTATTTAAATGCTTATATTCAGACTTACTTCAACAAGGTGCATTAAAATGATTTTAGCTTGGAATGCAGATACTGAGGGCCATTTTGCTTTAGTATTGCAGTTGTTGTCCCAAACCAGGAGAATAAGATAATAGCATAAATACTTATACTGTGTTAATGAGTAAAATTAAGTTGTGGTATCCACTTTTTGGAGTAAAACCGAGTCATTATTGAGACCGGATAGTCAGCTATAGTCAGATAGGATAGGATAATATCTACTTAAGATTTTGTCTTCAAATTTATGTTTGACCCATTGTTTAATATCAATGAGGTAAATGAGAATTATAGAAGGCCATGTGAGAGGAATTTAGTACCACATGAGCAGCAATAATAACTAGCAATAATAGGGTCATTTATAAATGGTTCTTTTTGAAAAATTTAAATGTTATTCTAGTGGCAGAGATTTTGCACACTGTATTCTGCAGCATTACACAAGAAAGCTTAGTTCAGCTTAGCTTGAGATAAAGGAGGTATGTTTTGTGGAAGCACTGCACTGGTATGTGTGGTAGTTATGGGCTTGTGTGATGTAGGGCAATTTAATGAGATACTTTGACCACCACTGTTTAAGGATCCCCCCGCCCATATGAAATTATTCCTATTAGGATATACCAGTTGACAAATTTTCATTAGGAAGTATTTTTCAAAGTGAATCAATTTAACAAATTTATTTCCTTGATCAGAGGATTGTATCATCCACCTAAACAATTTTTAGCTTTTTAAATTTTTTTCATTTCAATTTTACTAACATTATTGTTAGCAAAACCAGTTCTTTTGAGAAGTAAATTCTCTAACAAAGATTTGATTCATTAGTCAAAATTTGCCTTATTGAATTTTAACCTCACAAGAAAAAATTGATATTTTTGATACTTTTTTTTCTTATATTCCATGATTTATTCCACGTCTGTTTACAGATCAAAATTTATAAACAAAACATAACTTCTGCTAAATCTTTTAATTTGTAGTTTAGTTGCTATCAGTTTTATTTTGTATTAATTTTACTAGTAATTTACATTACAAATCAGATGTCTGGCTAGGGCAAAAATATATGATCTTGATATGTGTAGGGGTGGAAACAGCAGAGTTAAACTGTCCTGTTCTAACCATTTTCTGATAGTGTGATAATAGTTAGATATAGTACTCAGGAAAATGATGATGAAAGTACTACATGGCCTCAAAAATAGAGTTGAGTTAGATGATATCTTAAGGCATTTGAATTTCTAACTTAGAATAAAGAAAAAAAATCATCATCTGGAATACCATTTGAGAACAAATTATATGAGAACACATTTATAAATCTTCAGTAAAATTTTAACATCTGCGTATGTGTGTGTGTGTATATGTGTGTTTGTGTGTGTGTATGTGTAATTTCACACAAACTTGTGTAGCAAAAGTATTATCTTAGTTAACGCAACACTTGGGGCATTTCCAAGTTTGCAATAGGATCTGGAAGTGATGCAGAGACACTGCTTATTTGGGTCAACTATGACCTAATAAGTTTATAGTTATCCTTCTAATTCATTGTGAATGCCATTGATGGTATAGGTGATGTTTTCCCAATTTAAAACAAGCCCTCTACAGTGCTCCTAGATTTGGAGGTTCTGGGAATAGTTCTCAAATGGATAGGGTGATCTTAGAGGTGATCAGGAGGCCTGGTTTTAATATTGGGTTGGGTTCTAATATCAGTATGGATTGGTTTTAAGTGAGTTAGAGAATTTCAGCCTAGTTTTCATTCCAAGAGTTGATGATTGATCCATAAGGAGATTTTAGAGATTTGCCTGGGCCTAGAGTAAATTTCATGGAAAGTACAGGCAACAGAAGACCTCTTGATTAAAACAATTCATCTTGTACAGGAAGGGTATTAAATTTCGTTAGGGGTTGAGAGTCCAGGCTATCCTGGGGAAAACATATGTCTGCTAGTAACAGTACCATAGGCCACATCACAGTTCCACTAAAGTATGTTTTATGATTTATATTGAAAGTGACAGCTTACCATTCAAGAATCTATAAAAATCATTTTCATTATATTTAAATCTCAATAAAGAGAAGTAATTTCTATTTAAATTTTAAAACATTAAGTAACTCATCTGTAATCCATATGCTTAAAAAAGAACCTTTTTTTAAAAAAAAATATTTACAGGGGTCAATCATCACTGGCGACTATGAATATTGCTACTGCTTCAGGCTACCTCATTTCTGGTATGTGATATTTAATTAATTGTTTATTTCTTTTTATACTACTCATGGAATTATGCAAAGAATACATAGTCTATGCTTTTGGTTTATTTGAAAAGTAGCTTTCAGAATCTGTCCAGAGGAAAATAATACCCATGATGACAGAAGAATGTGAAACATTTTTTTCTTGCCTTTCTGATTCTCACTGAAGTTCCAGGTTATAGAATGGGGCCTCAAACCACCAAGGTCAGAGCATTTAAGATTTTTTTTTTTTTTAATTTTTAGTGGTCTCTCCTTTTCCTGAAGAGTTTCTCCATTGTAATTACTGTGAAGCTAATGAAGTTTAAGCCTCAAGGTCCTTCACTGTTAGGTCCTTGAAATGTATATTCCAATAGTTATGGATTGCATTGTTTGGGTAGAATTTGCAGAAATAATCTATTTTAGCCATAATCAATTAAGGTCACAGACTCTTTCTACTCTACATTCTTTGCTGTTATGTTTTCTCTAATGTTGGATAGGATTGGAGTGACCTTTTTTACAGTGAGGCCAAGGGAAGTAAGTTGAAAATATGTCATTTTAACTTCAATTTGAAAGGATGTTTTAAAATAAATACATTAACAATTAAGACATTTGAATCATCTTAATTAAAAAAGATATAATAGAACCATGATTTGTATATTTATATAGAAACCCCATTTTTAAATTTTAAAATATTAAGTAACTGAAAGAAAATATAAATAAAAATAATGGGATATGAAACAAAATGATAAAGTAATGAATTCAAAAATTGTATGCCATCAAGAAGTGAATCATAACAAAAATATATGGTATCAAAACAATTCATTAAGAGGAAGAGATAAATTTTGAAGATAAATAATGAATAGACTGTTGAATTATTTGGTAACCCAATTTAAAAAGTGAATCAGTGAACTCATAAAAACTATATTTATAGCTTAATTGACACAAAATGATGTTATTGATTAGGTTAACACAAAATTCATTATATGCCACATGTACTAGTTAATGAGTGTTAAGTCAGAGAATAGTCACTCCTCAGGAAATCCTATATGCAAGAAATTTGATTAAAGTTTTCCAAATAACATAACAATCCAAAAAAGCTTACAAGAGTTATGCACTGAAATAAACTTTTCTAAACCAAGTTGAAAAAAGTTTGCTTTATTCTCTCAATAGAACAGGTTACAAAATAATTATCATAGAAGTTGGTGACCAGAGAGTACACAGAATATGTAGGGAAAATAAATGTATTTAGGGAAGGAAGTATTTATTGTTAATAGAAATATTAACAATATTTAATTAATTATTGTTAATTAAATATTGTTAATTATTTAATTAACAATAATTTATTTTACTTTTCTTGATTTCCACAATTATGGTATTTGACTTCTCTTTAAATTTTGTAATTTCCTTTCTTTTTCAAAATGTTCATATCTAGTTTGTCAATAATTTTTATTTTTACACATAGTCCTTGTAGTCCATAAGTTCCGATTCCACGAAATCTGAATTCTCCCCTGGAGAGATGATAACCATTTGTTTCCCTGTCTACATTTGATATTTAGCCATTTGGTAAAGAAAATAGTTGTGTTAACATTTTCTGCAGTTTCTATTTTGATAAACTATTTCCTGAATCATGGCATTTAGTCAGACCCTTTTAAAGAAAAATTGATGCCTTGACTTCTTCCTTTGCATATCTTTTTCTTTTTAATTTTTTTAGTTGTACATGGACACAATATCTTTGTTTTAATTATTTATTTTTATATGGTGCTGAGGATTGAACCCAGGGCCTCACATGTGCTAGGCGAGCACTCTGCCACTGAGCCACAACCCCAGCCCCCTGCATATCTTTTTAATAGTCATAGTTTTTGATTATTTTACTATAGTAAGTTAGTATTTATTTATAACTGTTGTTAATTTAAAAAATTTTTGTTGAACATGTGTTATAAACAAGTTGGTAATTTTGAACTTTTTCTATCTTTTCTACCACCATCTTATCTTTTGCATTATTGTTGTGACAAAAATCAGTAATTCAACTTTTAAATTTATTTTTTATTTGATAGTGTTTTCATTTATTTTAACATAAGTTAGTCATTTATACTTTCAGAAAATTTACAGACTATAAGCCAGTGCCTAAATTCTGAGGGTGCAAAGATGCCCACAGCTTGGCCCTTGTCTTGGAGGGACCACAGCAGGGTGAGTGATTCAGATATATAGAGCAGATACATGGTGAGAAAGTGGGTAAGAGGGGTGAACAAAGTGTTATCTCAGAGTAGACAGTGATGAGTTGTCAGGAGAAATAACTAGATACACTTGAAAAACAATGTAGCTTTCTTTCTGTGTAATGTCTTATTTATTTTTCTTCTTACAGATTTGTTGATTCTCATTTTGTATTGGAAAGTGATTGGTGACAAATGTTATATAATTCACCATTGCACGGCGTTGTATGCATACTTCTTTGTAATGGTGAGTGCCAAGATTTATTGTAGCCTACCCAGTAGACAAGATTGGAAATAGGAACTCAAGGGTAAACATTAATCTAAATGCACAAGTGTTGATATAAAAAGACCATCTGTAGCTACGTTCAGGGATCATTCTTGTGATAACGGTATCTTGTTTATTAACTAAAATAATAACTTTATATGAGCATCTGTATTAGTGTCTCTATTTGTATTCATGCACTTTGAGACAAGAAGATGACCCTAATTCCTAGATTTTCCATTTAAAAACTTTAGGATTAAGTGTCTTTATAGATGCATTTATGATTTAATAGCCAGAGGCATATATAGATTCCTATAAATCTAGCTAATATATTTATTTTCTGTTTAATTTCATGTACAATTACATGTACACGCATGATTACATTTAAGTAGGCTGGATTGATAAGGACAACTTGCTCAGAGACTTTATCAGAATTCTGAGTTGTTTTTGGTTTTTAAGAGGCTGGGTCTTGCTATGTTGCCCAAGCTAGCACCTAACTCATGGGCTCAAGTGACCCTCCTACTGAGGTTGATAAAAAAAAAAAAACAAACAAAAACAAAACTCTTGCAACAAATCCCAGATACTAAACATATTAAATTCTGTGTCTAAAATTATTTTTCTGGATATTGATTTGTAAACCAGCAACTTTGTATCCCTTGCATGTTTGTTAGGTTTCTCCACAGTGGTTATTTTTCAGCCTAGATATGCCAACAAGGCTAAGATATCTGTGAGTAATAGAAATAAATTAGAATTTTATGAATTGCATATAATATGATATATAATAATTCCATATTTTTGCTGTTTTAAAACATATGTGTAGCTTCTAACTTTGTATTTGATATTACTAAAATCTTTATATTACTGAATATTGGACTATTTGGAGGAGTTTTAAAAATCCATATAAACATATACTAATAATAGTCTTCTATGTTTTTTTTTAAATTATCGATCCACACAAAGATAGCTAGTGAATAAGAAGTTGCTTTGGCATCATTTCTGCCAGAATCAAATATATTGAAATATATCAAAACATTATCTCCAAATTATCTGTTCAAAGTCACAAATGTAAATAATTAATGTTTTCAAATCTGTGCTTTTTTAAATGTATAAATGAGAGTTTATGTATCAAAAGGGATCTAACATCACTTAATTTTTCTGAAACAATAGGCAATATTTACTGGTGTTTTCTACTGTTTATTTCTTTGTCCTCTTTAAAAAATTTTTAATACATTACATATAGTTATAAAATATAGAGGCCTGCCTTTTACTGGTACTAGACATTTGGTATATAAGCATTTTGTTTCTTTAGCACTTTTGCTTGGAAAACATACAAACTGACTAACAAAATACCAGTTAAATCTGGGAAGGAAGTATACATATGAGTTTAATATCATCCTGCAATTTAGAAATATATTCTCTGAACACGAGTCACAAATAAGCAGTGTGCTATGAAAAGAATAAAAACTGGTGAAAGATAATAGGTCACTTAAATGCATTTTTGGGGATGGATTGAATCCAGAGGTGCTCTACCACTGAAACACATCCCTACCCTACGTCCCCTTCTGTAAAAATTTGACAGGGTCTCCCTAAGTTGGATCCTCCTGCCTCAGCCTCCTGAGTTGCTGGGATTATAGACATGTGACATTGCACCAGCACTTTATGCATTTTTAAATGTGAATATCATGAACTCTGCTATTCTGCCTTGGCTGTTGAAAGCACAGGCTTGGCGATAGCTAGCTATGCATGGATTGGCAAATTGAATGTTTACTTATGTAAGATAAATTGTACTTTCTTTTTGGACTTTTATGCCTTTTTAAAAAATGTCACATGCTTGAGTTTTAAAAATCAACTGTTTTCTTAGTAAGTTGATAAAGGAAATCCACTAAAAATTTTTTCAGAAGATGGTTACTGTTTTAGTATGTCTTCCTATGTTCTTTTGTTTTACTATGAAATGTATCTGAAGTAAATCTATTCATAGCAAAACAAAATATAAGAAAAATAGGTAAAATGAAGAATGTTTATAGAGCAGAATGACCTATGTTGTTTACAGATTTTGCATTTACTTGTTGGATATTAAATGTTTTTTTCCTGGTAGTGAACTCTTCACTCCCTCTAAATACTTCCTCATTTTGAAAAATTAACAAAAATAATAATTATATTATTGTGTAAGTGGTCATGAAATTTTTCTCACTATGAGAACTGATATTCAGAAATCACTTTGACATACTTATGCAGCTGTTTATACTTTTTTCTTAAATGATTTTGTTATAGAAACTAAATAAAAGAAAGTGATGAATAGCAAGTTTTCTCTAGGTTTCAAATGTTGGTCTTGCTGATGAAATAGTTGAATAGTAAGATTCTTTTGGATTTAGTATGTAATAAGCTACATATTGGTTATATAATATCTTGATCACTATTTTTGTATCTCTCTCTGCTATATTTATTGGAGTTTTAAAATTCTCTTGCAGAGTACCTTAGAGTTTAAGGAATCTTCCTCTGCTTATGTAAAGAGAGAAAAAATCTTAGGTTTTTCCCCCTGATATTTAGCTTTCACCCCTGGGTCAGGATACTAATGATCAAGGATAGAATGACAGGCTGATATATATCTGGGAAATTAATTATTTTATTAGTATTTCTGTATCTCACAGAAATCTGCACAGATGCACAGATATTTAGATAGTAATAGTAATAAAACTCTTTTATTTATTTATTTATTTTATTGTGGTGCTAGGGATTGAACCCAGGGCCTTGTACATGTGAGGCAAGCACTCTACTAACTGAGCTATATCCCTAGCCCTAGTTTATAACTCTTAATTCAGATATTAGTCATATCATTAATGTTAAGTGATGAGTTTCAAAAACTACATGTATTTGTTTATATTTACACACATATACATGTGTGTGTTTTGTTTTGGAATTTACTTCAGCATTTACTATTTGATATAGAACACCTGATGTGATCATCCCAATAACTTGTAAGCATAGCACAGCTCCTATAAGGCCTTCCTCAGTTTTGGTTTAAGAACTCAAATCAGGCATTACCCACCTTTCTTGTCCTTTTGTTACTTTTCCACATTGTTCTGTGGGCAAAGTATTGCCTTGGCTTTGTATAGTGGAATTACCTTGACAGAGTTGTCTCCTTTTCTTTCTCTAAGCTCACTTGATTTTAGAATTCTATTTTCCTTTTAATCCCAGGAAAGAGAGCAGTTGGTGGATTGACTTTGGATATGATGATAAAATAGTTGTCAGCGGAGAAGACTGCCATGTCCACTCTAGTGTTTTGTTAGATTTTCTCAAAAAGCAAGCTCATCATATTCTTTGTATATGTGTACCTAGAATAATCAAATTCTTAGAGGCAAAAAATAGAATGCCAAGTTACCAAGGACTGAACAGAAGGAATAATGGGGAAATTACTGTTTAATGGGTACAGAGTTGCAATTTGGGAATTTGAAAACATTCTGGAGATATGTAGTGCTGATGGTTGTGCAATGAGTGCATTTAAGGCCACTGAAGCATACACTTAAAAGTTGTCAAGAGGATAATTTATGTATATTTTACCACAATAAAAAAGTTAAAGGAAAAGCTTATCAAATGACTGGAACAAACTTAGGAAGGAGATGTTGGACAATGTGCTACACTTTTTAAAAAGCTTACTACTAAGATAATAGGCTGAAACAAATAGATGGAACTTAATAGTGATAAATTTTGTATATTTAGGTTTAATAATCTATAAGTAAGATGAATGGAATAATGACCTAGAAGTGATAAATGATCACATTTCAATTGTACCAATAGTACATCACAACTTAAAGCAAAAGCAAAAAACACCCAAGCCACTTCAATTATAAGACCCCAATAGGAGAGGTATAGTATCTAATTGGGACATGTTATAGTTTTCCTATAACAGACCACAACCTGTATCCTCATTATTTGGTGTCTGTAATCTTGCATACATTTAGAGGAGAGCCACTAGGGAAAGCAGACAGTTAACTGCAAAAGGGAGATAACATCAAGTACCTTTTTTTTTATAACAAATAATTGAAGGACCTAGAGATGTCTTGTCTGGAAAAGACAGGAAGAATACATGATAGCTCTGAATTGTTGAATTATGAAAGGATTATTAAGTGGAAGAGGGATAGACTTATTCAGGATTAATTCAGATGTTGTAACTAGAACTAATGGGAGTGGTAAAACTGGGTGATTTTTGAACTAAGGCAGAGGGCAGGAGATATGGAAATGTATCATGGAACCTGCAGTTTCACTTAAGGAGATAAGAAACTATTAAAATATTAAAACAAAATGTCACACAGTGATAAATCATTAATACTCTAGTAACTTAAGGAACTACTAAGACCATTGTATTAATTTTTCCCTCCATATATAGATGTTTGAATTTAAAAAAACTTCTGAGTTTACAGAAATTTGAGGCTTAGGAGGTAAAACAATTTTAAGCCTGATTCTCCATAGATAACTACTGACAGTATTTGATATATATTCTTACAGCCTGTATAAATTGCACATAAATTTGTCACAATATATTATGCCCTTTTGTATTTTCTAAGAAAGATTATGAGATATGTAGGACTTAATATCAGCCTTCAGAAATATGTGTGTTTAGATTGGCACAAAAAGGTAGGGATGACTTCCTAGGTCAGCAAACATGAGGAAACACACTGGGGAAAGGTGTCAGCTCTTCCTGTGATATATTCTGGAGCTGTGTTTAGAAAGAGAGAAATTAGGGGAAGGGCTAGGATGTTTTGCCAAGTTTTTACAAATTCAAAAAAAAGTTTCCTTAAGGTGTGGAGAATTATCACTTTGACCAAAGATGTTTAGATGCAAACAGCATGCACATTTACTGTTTTTCTTAGTAACTTTTAATATTTAAAGAATATCATAAATTAAATCTTTATCTCATACTAATTTGGTACTTGGTTCATTGTTCATTTTAATTCTATACCAACATGAAAGGAGTTAGAAGAAGTAATTTGT